CCTGCAGAGGATGAATTTAGGGCTGAAACTGTTCCATTTTAGAAGCATTAAAGGCTTTTGCTGTGCTGGTGCTCAGGGCAGAGCAGGAGCTGGGTCTGTCCGTGCTCACAGCACCAGGTGGAAGCGGCATCTCCACAATCCCTGCGGGCAGGACAAAGTGGATGAGGCTCCTTCCCCCTGCACTCTGCTCCTGCCACGGTGCAAGGAGTGGGAGGCAGGATGACCTATTTGTGTCATGCCCCGAGTGCCTCTTTTTGCTCCAGCCAAGGCATCTCCACGCTCTGAGGCTCCTGCTCTGCCTGTTGGAACTGTCTGAAAGGGTTTTGTTACTCCCCTCTTCCCGTCCCCTTGGCTCACCTGGAGCTGGGAGGGCTGCAAAAGCATTTTGAGAGATGCAGCAGAAGCTGGATTGTTTTCATCCCAGGGTTTTGCTGTGGGAGGGACAGAGGTGGTGGAGAGAAGCATCCCTTGACATTACATTCCTGAGAAACAGGGATCCAGGTGCTCTCCTTGATGAGAGATGTAAATCCATTGGTATCGTTAGTGTCCCTCCAGACTGAGGGCAGGATTAGGGAAATCATTCTCTCCTCTCTCCCCACAAGGAAGGATTGGAGAACTGGGCTTTTGGGGATATGGCTCTTTTTTTTTTTTTTTTTAAGGTATTCATATATTTACCTCCTTAGCCAAAAATATATGAGGGATGAGCATTTCCAAAGCTCTCAGAATCAGCAACTGCTCCTTCACTGATTTTGGAGGTAAAACCCTTATTGTCTTCAGTGGGAGCTGAGATAGCCCAGCTCTGCAAAATCCAGCCCTGAAAGTGTAAGTTCTATTAATCTTTATTTTTAAAGATTTTTATAAAAACTATTACCACGCACATTATCACATGTTTTTGGCACAGCCCCTACAAAACCAAAGACGTTTTCACTGCACACTCATAAAGAACCTACTGCCTGTGTTACTGAGCTCTCACAGATATTTCTTGGTCCTTTACCTGCAGCTGTGGCCTCAGAGCTGTGACAGATTTCATTTAAGGCCCTTTATTTCCAGCTACAATGTGCTCTCATTTAATCAGAGGACTCTGATGGGACTCTGGGCTGCTGCTGCTGGAGCTGGGAGACACAAGGAGCAAACCCCACAATCAGACACACAGGAAATGACATTTTCCCTCTCCCATGGGTGAATATTGATTGTCATATTGACTTCCCTGAGGAACAGGCTGAGGGAGCTGGGGTGTCCAGCCTGGAGAAGAAAAGGCTCCAGGGAGAGCTTAGGGCCACTTCCAGTGCCTAAAGAGGCTTTTGAAAAAAAAAAAAAGGAAAAGGGACTTTTTACATGGGAAAATAGTGATAGGATAAGGGGCAGTGGTTTTAAACTAAAAGATGAGAGATTTAGGTTAGATGTGAGGAAAAACTTGTTCCCTGTGAGGGTGGCACAGGGTGCCCAGAGAAGCTGTGGCTGCCCCTGGATCCCTGGAAGTGTCCAAGGCCAGGCTGGACAGGGCTTGGAGCAGCCTGGGATAGTGGAAGGTGTTGTGTTGTGGTTGGAATGAGATGTCCTTTAAGTTCCCTTCCAACCCAAACCATCCTGTGGTTCCCTGCTGTCGAGTTTTCCCTGGACAGCAACAATCAAACACAATGCCTTAGGACGGGTCAAAATGGAAATGCTGTTCAAGTTTTGTCATTTATTGTCCACTAAGACAAGGCCTTGTGACATCAGGTGTGCTGCCCTCCAGAATGCTGGGAGAGGGGCCACGCTGCTCAGGGTTGGATGGATTTTAATAATCTGCAGGGAAGGAGACTCCACTGAAAAACACAAGGGAAAAGCAGAGTGTGGCACTGTGAGCAGGATCACTGTTCGACCATCCCTCCCTGTGCTGTGAGATCCTCGAGGAAGAGCATTCCTGAGGGATGGGTTCCCAGCACAGCAAGGTGAATTTGCAGCTCCTGGGGGAAGAGCTGTGGCCTTGCCACCACCTGGGGATGCTCCATCCATGCACCAACACCTCCTCCCCCCAAGAGCAGGGCCCCTCTCCTGGCTGAGAAAGCCTGGCCAGTGTCTCCACATCAGCACCACAATCATTCCCCCTGGGAGCACGTCAAGAGGAAATTAATGTGAAGGGAAGGGCTTCACCATCATCTGTTCCAGAAGTGACAACGATCCCTGGCCAGCCTGCTCTCGGGGGGACTGAGTCCCAGAGCCCAAGGGCAGCTGTGCAGAAGGTCTGACCCTGCTGCACTCCAGGAGCTCACCCCAGGCTCTGTCAGTGCCAGCCTCCCTGGGGACCTGAGCTGTCTCCCTTGGTCACATCACAGGGGCAGCAGACACATGATTTACAGAGGGCTCTCCCCTCCCTAACTTCATGGGTTTGTATTTCACTAATCCTGGTGCCGTCAGAGCTCCCTGGGTAGTGCAGCTCCTGCCATTTCTTAGGGAAAAACCTGGGCTGGGCTTCAAGCTATGAAGAAACATTTTCCTCTTCAATCTCCCACCTTTAAGGCATCGGCCCATCATTATCCCTGCCCCGTGCTAATTCCAAAAGTGCTGCTGGGAGCCACCTGACCCAATGGTACTGGCCCAAAATCACACCCTGGCACTGCCTAACCCATCCAGACAGCTGGAGCCTGCAGGTGGCTCATGGAAATGGAACAGTTGATATCTCAAGCCACTTTCAGGCACTTTTAAGACGACTTTCCTCTCTCTCTCTCTCTCTTTTTTTTTTTTTTTCCTAAAAGCAGAGTGGTTTTCTTTATGCTGCTCCAAAGCTGGAAACCTCTGGGGTGGAGCAGGGGGTTCTGTGCTCCAGCACTCCAGATTAGTCACTGATGGGACCTCTCCTTTCTCCATTAATAAATCAGGACTCTGCCTTCTATCTCCTCTGGGAACATTAAAAAAGCCCCTTCCTGCACTCAGGAAGGATTTCTGTTTAATTCCTTTAAATGAATTCCTTTAAATTCCTTTAATTTAATTTCCCAACAAACAACATCACAATCCCATCAAGCTGAAGAAAGCAACAAGAAAGGGAAGGCCCCCTGCCCACAGGGATGTTGGAGACTGCAGATGATGGAGAACACGAGGTCCAAGCTGTCACCTCCCCCATCAGCACACCTGATGCACCATCAGAGAAATGAGGGGTTCAGCACTGACATTTTGGGTTCTGTAAGTTAAATATTCCACAGAAAATATCCAGTTATCCCTTGGATACACAACCTGTGTGCTCCACACTTTGGTCGCTGGGATGATGCCCACACACAAGAGGTGAATTATCAATGACCCAAACAATTCCCCAAATATGCACCATAAATAAATACCATCCCCATCAGAGCTCAGATAGCCCAGGGTCCTTGCCTAAGGCATCTTCCACAAGGAAAATGCTTGGAACTGTTGGAATGAGTCGAGAGGAGGCCACGGAGCTGCTCCAAGGGCTGGAGCCCCTCTGCTCTGGAGCCAGGCTGGGAGAGCTGGGGGTGCTCACCTGGAGAAGAGAAGGATCCAGGGAGAGCTCAGAGCCCCTTGCAGAGCCTAAAGGGGCTCCAGGAGAGCTGGAGAGGGACTGGGGACAAGGGATGGAGGGACAGGACACAGGGAATGGCTTCCCACTGCCAGAGGGCAGGGATGGATGGGATATTGGGAAGGAATTCCTGGCTGTGAGGGTGGTGAACACAGGTTTTCCAGAGAAGAGGTGGCTGCCCCTGGACCCCTGGAAGTGTCCAAGGCCAGGTTGGATGGGGCTTGGAGCAACCTGGGATAGTGGAAGGTGTCCCTGCCCATGGCAGGGGGATGGAACTCAATGATCTTTAAGGTCCCTTCCAACCCAAACCACTCTGGATCTCTGATTGTCCCAATCATGCAGTAACATTACTAAACAGGCTCCTTAATTGTGTGCTTGGCTTTTGCTCATGATACCTCAGATGAAGTTTCTTGTTTGTTTCAAATTTAAAACTTCTTGAGCCTTAGGAGATTAAAAAAAAACCCCAAAACAGTAAAAATAAAGGAACACTAAATTAGTGATTACTTAAAATCATACACTGAGTGGTAAAAAATTGGATGAACTATCAGCACTGAGCCCAGAACAAAGCTCTCCCAATTCCTTGCCCCATTCAGGCTACTCATTTATGAAATCTCCCGTGCAGATTTATTTTCTGGGGGAAAAAAAAAAATCACTCTGGTTACAGCAGGAAGAGAGTTTAGAGTAGAATTGCTATTTCCCAGTGGTGCTGGGGGCTCTTACACTAAATCACATTACTGCAATTTAAAATACAGCTGCACATCTGCTGAGGCTTGGGTATTGCTCACATGTGTGTTTTTTAGTCCAAGGCAGGTGAATTTTTCCTCCTCCCTGAGATGTAAAATGAAGCTGAATTCCTTTGCATTTTCCATGGATTCTCCTGCCTATCCACTTGGTTACCAAAGCTCAGCTGCTTTGTGCTAATTTCTTAACCTGGTTTTGTGGCAGGGTCTCCAGTGGATTGAACTAATTTGGAATAAGGCGTGTCTGATTCTGGAATAGGAGCATCAACACAGGGAATTAATTACGAACCACTAATGTCAAGTGCACAGTCCAGAATAAGTCCTTGGATAGATGAAGCTTAAGGCCATCATCTCTAATTTTTCTCAAAAGCAAATTATTTTTTTCCTTGTCTGTCTCTTGATCTGCCTGTCAGGAAATAGATTCCCTGCCCATGCCAGGGGGGTTGGAACTGGAGAATCTTTAAGGTCCCTTCCAACCCAAACCATCCTGTGATTTTATGGCTATGAAATGGTCACACAGATATTTTGTCCTCACCTCATTCCAGCCCCTGATCACTCAAGATCAGCTCTGTGAATGGGGTGCTCAGTGTGTAAAGTCCTTCCTACACTTAGGGCTTGATCTTGGCCTGGAAATCACCAGGATTATTTGTCTAAAAACTTACTCAGATCCCAGTCCCCACCTTATCAGAGTTCAGCCAAATGCAGATCATAGAATTCCAGAATGGTTTGAGTTGGAAGGGACCTTAAACATCACCTTGTTCCAACCCCAACACCTTCCACTATCCCAGGTTGATCCAAGCCCCATCCAGCCTGGCCTTGGACACTTCCAGGGATCCAGGGGCAGTCACAGCTTCTCTGTGCCAGGGTCTCACACCTTCACAGGGAAGAATTCCTCCCAAATATCCCACCTATCCCTGCCCTCTGGCAGTGGGAAATCATTCCTCTCTGGTCCCATTTAAAGCCTTGTTTAGCTCTGGGTGCAAATTACAGCAATTCCTGTGCAGCAGCTTAAATTTAAATTCTTGTCATAAAATCCTTGGATTGTGGGTGTGTTGGCTGACAGAAACTACCCTTTGATCCTGGGACCCTCCTAGGCTGGATTTCCAGCAGATTTCCAGATGTCTTTTTCAACTCCTTCAATTCTTTCTCAGAGCGACCATTGTCCTGCAACCTGAAAGGAATTTTCCACTCCCAAATCCTCCTTGTTCTCCTTGAGAAACTTCACACCTGCTGGTGGCTGCCATGAATGCATGAACTTGCTTTTCTCAACCTCCTCTCACCATCCCACCTCAGCCCCCAGTGGTTGAAGGACAATGACCCAGGACACGGCTGTGACCTTAATCAACCCCACCAGGCACTTCTACAAAGCTGAGGACAGCAAAAACCCATCGGTCTTAGCTAAAAATTCCTGGAAACAGAGAAATCCTGAATTTGGCTGTGAATTCTCCCACCCTAAGAACTCTGCAAACTTTGGATTTTCCTCCTTCGTGCTAACTCCCTCTTTTTTTTTGGAAACAAAGAAGCGATGGAGCTTAAAAAGATGAATTACCTGATCTGCATATTCAATGAAGCTCAAATGCTCCATAAACCCGACATGAGTTTTGACAGTATTTAATGGTTTGCATTAATTAATAAGTCTTTAAAGATGTCAGACATTTGTAGATTTAAAAACTTTATAACTTTCAATAAATTTCAGTGGGGATTAATGAATTCCTGCAGATTTACACAGTGTGTGTGTCTCTCAAAGAATTGCACCAAGGTTTGTGATTTTAAGAGAAAGGAAAAAAGAAAAGAAGGAAAAAAGAAATAGAGTGGGGAGGAAAAGGAGACAATTTATTAAGTTGTGGTTTACTATGAAACAGATTTATTTTTCATTTCGATATTTTGTTACTTGATTGATTTTTTCGAGCAATTCTCTGAAGAACTGTTGATGCAGTGAGGGGTGGGGAGCTCTGCAAACCTCCAAGTCTCTGTACAAGACTCAAAGGATCATTTAGATTGGAAAAGAGCTGTGAGACCTTCCAGTCCAACCTGTGACCAATCCCCACCTTGTCACCAGCCCAGGGCACTGAGTGTCACATCCAGACATGAACATCTCCAGGGATGGGCACTCCAAACCTCCCTGGGCAGCCCCTGCCAATACTTGGCAGCCCTTACCAGGAAGAAATTCCTCCTGATGTCCAGCCTGAACTTCCCCTGGTGCAGTTTGAGGCTGTGCCCTCTCCTCCTGTCCCTGTTCCCTGGGAGAAATCCTGACCCCCCGGCTGTCCCCTCCTGTCAGGGAGTTGTGCAGAGCCACAAGGTCCCCCCTGAGCCTCCTTTTCTCCAGGCTGAGCCCCTTTCCCAGCTCCCTCAGCCTCTCCTGGTGCTCCAGCCCCTTCCCCAGCTCTGTTCCCTTCCCTGGATGCTCCAGCTGCTCCATGTCCTCCTTGTCCCAGAGCTGTCCCCAGCACTGGAGGTGTCCCAGCAGTGCCAGCACATGTGACAGGCACTGCCCTGGCCCTGCTGCCACCCCAGAGCTGGCACAGCCCAGGTGCCTTTGGCCTCTTGCTCACCTGGGCTCATGTTCAGGCTCTGTTGACCAGCACCACCAGGTCCTTCCCTGCTGGGCAGTTTTCCATTCAAACTTATCCATATCAGTATCTGGATTTGTACCCATATCCACAGAGCTATGAACACACACACAGACACACAGAAATATATATTTAATACCTACATTTTACTGGTATGAAGGAAACTACTCCAGAAATCCAATTCCACACACGTATCCTAAAGGTCAACTTCTTACATCAATTTGGGATGAACACAAAGACTGGACATTCCAACTCCTCCCCACACCTTTGGTAATTACAGATTTTGGAGAAGTTCTTTGCCCAGAGGGAAGCAAAGTGAGAGGCAGGGGCAGGGCTGAAAGCAGAGCAGGGGGAGGAAAGAGAACATAACTGATCCTCATGGGTGGCACATGTGTATGAATGGGCTGGGATTTATCCTGAAACAACTTCCTGTGCTCGTGACAGAAGACAAGAGGAATCATAAAATCAATGAGTGCAGAGAGAGGAATGAGCCTTGGCTCTGGCTTGTACAGGGAATTATTCTCCCAGGCATCTCACCAGCCAGTCGGGATCACTCATCCCACTCCCACAACCTGGATACACAAACACCAGGAGATGGTCACTGGAATGCTGTCCCTGCCTTTGCCATGAGGGATGAGCAGGGGATGCCACAGGACCTGTTGGCTGCTCTCAGGTGATGGGGCTGGAGAACAAATCCCAAGGGGGAATCACTGCAGGTTCCAGAGGGTTGGCACTGCCTTTTCTTAGTCATCATCACTGCACAAAAATCAGACCAGAGGCCCCATAAAGAAATGGGATGGTGCCAATGCATGTCAGGATCTTCCCATAGATTGACCAGCAGGAGCATGGAACAGGTTTCCCAGAGAAGCTGGGGCTGCCTCTGGATCCCTGGAAGTGTCCAAGGCCAGGCTGGATGGGGCTTGGAGCAACCTGGAGCAGTGGAAGGTGTCCCTGCCCATAGCAGGGGGGTGGAACTGGCTGAGCTTTAAGGCCCTTTCCCACCCAAACCATCCTAGGCATGGTTTACTGAGGATTCACTGAGGGCTTCACTAAGGATTTCTCATTTTTAGTGATTTATCCACATTCTCCACCCAGCTGTGCCCAACATCACACCATCTCAGCCACAATGGACCACTCTGGTCCTGCTCATTTCCAGCACAAAGTGCCCTCCTGTATTCTGAAACCTCCTCTCATTTTATCCCCACTCCTCTTCATCACCGCCAACAACCAGCAAGGAGCGCAGTGACTCCAGAGCCATTATCCCAAATTCCTGTGCTGTCACATGCCATGGTGGGGATGCTCTCCCCCCTCCCCGGCTTTGGCAGGACCCTCTGTCCAGCAGGCAGCGGGATGCTCGGTGCCCGTGACGGAACTCGCAGGGATGCTGCCCATCCATATGGAGATTTGGGTACAAGATGCTGACGTGCTGCTGCCTCCGCTCGTCCGACGGATCCCGGCTGTGCCCCTGGCCCCATCCCGCCGCTCATTTGCTGACAGGGATCGGCTGCTCGGGCTCGCAGCATCCCGGGAACTTCCTGACTATGGGCTCTGCTGGGCACGCTGAGCTGGGAGACCGGCAGAGGAAGAGTGTGTAATTGCAACAGAGGGGAAAGCTGCGGGGAGTTTGTCTCGGGATGACGAACAGGAGCTGGAAAGGCTGAGGGGAAAGGGATGAGCAGTCACGAGAGTGGCCTGACCTGCTTTGAGGCACGGGCTACAGCCAGGGAAAGGGGATACAAAGGGGATACAGATCTCAATCCTTGTCCCTGATCTGATAGAGCAGCACCAAACGCGCTGCTGTGGCCACCAGCTCGCCACACCTGGCCGTGCATTTCAGAGCTGGACTTGAACTGATGTTAAAAAAATGTCTCACGGAGGCCAGAGCAGCCTGATGGACTCTGGTGGCTTGATAAATAACCAGTAACTAATGTCTAATCTTTGTGTCTGTATCAGAGCTGTGCACTGCAGTGACCTGCTGGCTCTGTGAGCACTGGGAAACTGAGGCACAGAGCACAATTTGCTGCCCTAGATCACAGAATCACAGGGTGACTGTGGCCACTGTAGGAGCACTGGGACCACTGCAGGTCCTCTAGACCAACACCCCTGCTCAGGCAGGGCTCCCTAGAGCAGGGAATCAGGGTTGTATCCAGATCATTCTGGAATATCCCAGTGAGGAGACTCCAGACCCTCTCTGGACAATCTGTTCAGTGCTCAGTCACTGCTCAATAAAGTTCTGCTTTCCATCCAATTGGACCCTCCTGGGTATCATTTCCTACCCATTCCTCTGGTGCCATTGCTGGGCACCTGGAGCAGAGCCTGGGCCCTGCTCTGACCCTCCCTGCACACAGGGACACACAGGGACATAAAGGGACACTCAAAGACATCCAGGGACACCCAGGGACACCCAGGGATGAGGTTCCCTCTCAACTGTCTCCTCTCTCCCTCAGCCTTTCCTCATCAGGAAGATGCTGCAGTCCCTTCACCATCTCTGTAGCCCTCCACTGGCCCCTCTGCAGGAGCTCCATGTCTCCCCCCACGATGATTTCCTGAAGGAAATCGGCTTTCCAGGGACACGTGGGAAAAGCACAGCATTGTCCCAATGGAAACACAGAAGTCATGCTCCCTATAAACACCACAAACCTCATCTGCCAGCTGCAGCTGGGCATAGCTGCACACCAGACTGGCTGGTTTGGCATCACTCATCTTGCCTAAATCCAGAGGGAACATCCCAAGGCAACACAAGTGGTTGGAACGACCAAAGAGTGGAAAATTTGAAGAGCTTTTGGGAAAGAGATTAAAATTTTCTTTCAGTGCCTCCTTCTGCCCTGTGTCCCTGGCCCTCCTTGAAGGTTTGGGAACTCGCTGTTCTGAAGCCGGGGTGATTTTTAAAAAAAAAGTCTGTGCCCTTTTTGGATAATATAATAAAGACTTAGATGCTTTTCGGACGTCAGCTGCTGCCAGTAATCAGTGCTTCGCAGCTGCTGAGTCACAAATAGCTTGAAAAATATTTCCAGTCCTTGCTCTCCTGAGAGCTAATCCCAGAATGGGCAGTCATAAAAAAACATAAATCCCCAAATTACCAGAATGGCCCCAGAAATCTCTTTTAAGGCGATTAGTTTGATGTCGGTTCTGGATTGTCTTTACCTCGTTGTTTCTCCTCCATGTTCCTCGCTCCTCTCTTTTCCCT